CCACACCCACACACACCCACACCCACACCCGCACCCACACCCACACCCACACCCACACCCACACCCACACCCACACCCTTATCTAATAAAACTCACTCTCACACATTCTCACACCCTGTTCACGCTTATAGAGAGTAGTTCAGATTTGAGTTTTTTAACAGAGAATTTTTATAGGAAATATTCCAACGGTCCAAGAAAAACTTTTTCATTTTGTTTTCATGGTGCCGATATATTCTGCTTTTTTTCACTACCTGGCGCATTTTTATCTTTTTCTGTATATTTGCACAAAAGAAACTGAAGTTTAAATTATAAAGACAATTCGAATTGGTCGAAGGTTTCTAACGAAATCAGTCAAAGCATGAAAATACTATTATATGCAAATTCTACTGAAAAATTCACATCTCAATGAATCTTTATAAGCACGAAGAGTTGAAAAATAGTAAACAAGGCCACTTCTTCGACCCATGTCGATCATGTTCATGATGATTGAAAGTAATAGTAACACGTAAGAACGTTTATATAATGGAACTTTTTTCGATAGTAAAGATGCTGAAAATTCATGCACATCGATAATGTCAGAATTACCTACTACAACTGATGAACTGAATCAAAACGTTTTGTGCAAGGTTCTTTTAAACTGAAGCACATTTTTGATTTTCAAGTCCAATTAGTCAGTTCATTATTTCGAAAGGTAAGCGCCAACAAATAATGATTCTGAGGTTCTTCTATCTTCTGACAGTTGAATTCTGTAACTCAGTCATTGCACATGACCATAACTATTTTTTAGAAAAATTAAATTGATTAGCTTTCTTTTACTGAAAAAATTGGAAAGTGACTCAATAGAAGAAGGCTTTAATACCAGCAATCTCATACCTAATGAAAATCTTTATTCAGCAAGAAGCAAAAAGACATGAATTGAATAATAAAAGATATATGAAAAGCAAAGTATTTAACCATTGATATATGGTATTCAAGAAAGTGGCCCAATCTGTTTTTGAACTTCAATAAGTACTTCGTTCATTAGTTGTAATCCTTGATGCCAATAGGCTGTATATGCCGTATCATTCATTGGTGGTAAGAACATCATACCTTCCGATAGTAAAACATACATAATGCTTGCTGCGAGCTATAAAGACGAGACAAAATAAACAGGCATCAGATTTTCTCGAGTAACTGTATTAAATGACTGATATACCTCTTTATCGCCAGTTGTTTGTAAATCAAAAACGCACGCTGTTATGACGTCTTCAATAACATAATGATCAGTCAATGCGTCGATTGAAATATTCAATTTTCCAATTACTTTTGACATTTCATCAACATGCACTTGACATATTTGTTCAGACATTTGGCTTACCTTTTGTTCTTGATTCGTTGGATAAGCTTTACGAAGAAAATTGACTTCTCGTTTTCGACGACGACTTTGGATTTCAAATTTACACCCGCCCATTGGACGCACACATAAACCAGTTGATTCACCGATGATCGAGTAATAATCCAATTCAATTTCAATATTATAATATTTCACCTCAGGACTAACCTAAAATGGTCGCAAATAGATTACAAGAAAATCTTTTAAAATGTTAATTTTTTTTGAAGGCTTTACAGTGCGATTTGTGACAGATGTAATTAAGACGCGTAAATAATTGTTAAGGTATTTGATATTTATACTTGATCGCGATTTTTCAACTTTAATTACTAGAAAGAATAAGGGAAGTGTATACTTCTGAATTTAACCAACGACAGTCCCAATTTGAGTTACTTACTTGAATTATTTTGACATCCAGAAGTATCTAGATGCGACATCGAACATAGTAAAACTTTGCCAGAATAATCATAGAAGTTGAGATAATACTAAAGTAAAACAATTAGTAGTGCACCTGTATATCATTCGATTCTCTTCTTCTATCAGTGTTACCTCATATATGAACCAAGGATGAGTGTCTGTCGTTGTTATTGTAGCATTAATTAGTCGATTCTTCAGTAATAGAAAAGTACCAGAATCGGAACAAATGTATTGATCTCGGATTGCACCGGGATATTGACCAAACATTTTCAAATGTGGATCACCCCTATGAATAGAAGGTGGAAAAGATATTTTACCGTATTCTATTTTTCTTAGAACAAAGTAAAATAGGACAAAGTGGTAGTTCTTACCAAACGTTACATTTTCCAACTTGTGGTCGTTCTAAACAGTAATAAGGGAAATTCTTTTTCAGTTTTTGAATATAAACTAGTGACTTTTTCTGGACATACCGATGAGTATTTCACAGTTGGCACCCTTTTAAGAACAGAGAAAAGAATAACAAAATAATGATCTAAATTGTATTTGATTTTAACTTACACCATAAGGAAATTTGCAGGTACATGTGCTGTTACTACAAGCACCACCATTCTTGCATGGTAAACCATTAATGCAGGGCTGATCTAAAAATAAAATACGTTTCACTTATAACCTGAAATGGATCCTTAGTTTTGCATTTACCACACATTGTGCCTTGCCATCCATTGTTCTGACAATCACAGTAAAGACTGTCTCCATTGGAGAAACAAGGTGCTCCATTTTGGCACGGACTTCTGTCGCATGACACTAATAACAACGAGAATTGATAAATGAAATATATGACAAAATAGTTTAGATTAGTTGTTAGCAACTAATCGCTTACATGTCGGAATTTCACAATTCGAACCCTAAAAGAAAACCATTGAACGTATTAACAAAGTATTTACTTACATCAAAGAAATTCTCTTCCTCTTACATCATACGTCACTGGACATGCACAAACATTATTGTTACATGTGGCATTATTGTAGCATGGCTTATTGTTATTACAGGTTTTTTCTGAATAGTTGTAAAATAGTTAATTAAAATTTACCACACTGTTTTAACTGGACTTCCTTACCGCAATTATTTCCTTGATAACCAGTTCTATCGCAGTCGCATTGATAAGAGAGTCCATCTTGAATACATATTCCTTTATTTCGACACGGTAGAGATTTGCACAAATCTTCAAGTACAACATACATCTAAGTAAAATGTCATGCACAATTGGTCATTTTAACACTTGCCTACTACCGATTCGCAATTCAGACCCTAAAATGATTTTCAAACTTTTATTTAGTCTTCTATACTTCATATGTTCTCTTGATATACCTCATATCCAGCTTTGCAATAGCAGACGTTATGCTGACACAAACCACCATTCAAACATTTTCTTTCGTTGATGCAAGGTTGATCTGAAAAACGCGTAATTACGACTGAATTGCTGTTCTTATGTCAGCCAGAATGCATCCTACGCACCACAGTTTTTTCCACCAAAGCCTGTGCTATCACAGAAGCAACTGTAATTATTTCCATCCCATGAGGCTGTGCATCTCGCTCCATTTTTACATGGTTGACTACGACAAGGATCTAATGAAAGTAAATTAGATAACAACAACTGGTTCTTTTAGGGATGCAATTATTCAAATACCTTTTCTATTTTCGCAATTTAAACCCTATAGTACAAATAGAATTTTCGGATTTAAAGAGTCGATTTCTCTCCGACTTTTCCTACTTCATAGCCGACATTGCAGCTGCAGGTATAGCCCGACGGTGAAAGCCATGATGCCGACAGTCCTGAATTGCAGGTGCCTCCGTTTTTACATGGATCGAACACACACGGATCTAAAATAGTAAAGAGGAAGACCTTTTGAGAAGGCAGTACGATGTTTTGGAAAGAATTGAAAGACAAAGCCAGCTCTTTGTCTGCTTTACAGTACCTTAAAAACTCGCCTTATCTATCCAGGACTAAGTTATAACCGATCTACCAGCTGGTTATAACTCTGATTCAGTGCACAAAGAACGTGGGTTCAGATAAACAATCTTCAATAATAAAGCAAGTTTGTCAGTTACCTAATTTACAACAATCAAATAATGCGCCATTTGCAGCTGTATCATCGATTCCTGCTTGGTTATCTTCCCAAATCAAGGAAAATCCACAGATAGCTGATCCATGCGGACAGGATACAAATGCCTTCCAATTACCCCATTTTTCACCGTTCGTTGAAATGATGGTAGCATAGGATTTGGAACAAATAAACTCAACATCATTAGCAGCTGTATCATCTTGAGCGCCAATACCAGCTCCTTGAGGTGGCTCAATTTTGAATCTTACTGACGATAAAAAATCACCGATTTGCGGACAGTAAGAATAGCTACCCCAATTGCCCCAATGTCCTTCAATTTCTTTTATAAATTCGTATTTTTCTTTCTTCGTGTTTGCACACACTAATTCCATTGCATTCATAGCCGTATCATCCGCCCGTGCCGCATCTGCTTCCACTTTTAGACGAAATCCGATAGCCCATTTATTAGCTGAGCAATATTTCCATCCTCGTTCATGCCCCCAATTACCTTTCTCCGGTGCAATTCTTTTGGTGATCGAATGCTGGCCGGATACGAAACGTTGAAAGGAAGCAGCCAGAAACATAAAACCATATAAGACAATGGTGAAATGCTTCATCTATTCTGAAGTAAAATAAAAAAGAAATTAGGTAATGACTATCATCAATAGGTGTTAATATGCTTCTAATGAAATAAATACTATAATGGTGGAAAAATCCTAATTGACGAAGCCGATAGGTAAGATCGCTAGAGACTGAAAAACACTGTTTGGCTTGGTGCAACTGATTCCAGAAAAGAGTCTTCATACATTTATGATACAGACAGCTTACCTTGTGTAATGTATTAATAAATAAAGATGAAACCCTAAGTATACTGCTTTAGCTGTGATATATATATATATATATATGAAGATTTTGTTTTTTTCGTGACTTCTTTGCATATCTACTACACATCAAATCATATCTTATCTGTGTGATTTGTAACATAATTTATGAGAACTCTCAAGTAATTTTGTACAAAAATATTTACATTCATGACATTATAATAAAAAGATCAAGTGAAAACTAATATTCTGTCTGGCATAAAAATTAATCTATTTTTTATCTCTGTTAAAGGAGGTCAGTTGTAGAAGCGGTTTACAACAAAAATGCGATATATCATAAAAATATCGGCAAGAATAATGTCGAAAAACAATATATTCATTAGTAAATGCTAACTCTGAGGCTCCCTAGTTGATCATTATTCTCTTGATTGAAGGAAGGATCATATGAAACAAAAGGAGTTTGTATGCTTGCTTGCTTGTACATATAAAGGCACGCGACACATATACCTGTGACGGTCAAGAACAGTTGTTTCAAATGAGATTTTTTCGTGTTGGCAACTCAGTTAATGAGGTGTTTTTGCCACTTGAGTCTTGACCAATCAATTACGTGGTAAATTTCAAATTATAATCAGTTCTTAACAGATTTTTGATTCCTAAATTTTTCCTTTTTTACAAAAGAAAATTTTCATAATTACCAGAAAAACAGAGAAGCAGAAATTAGTCATTGTAAGCTCTTTGAGTTTTCTCAGAAATCAGAAGTTTACCCTCTTTTATCTTTAGTATAGATGCTACATTTTTTTTTTGAGTAATAACGAGAAATCCTAAATCGGTGATTTAGTTATACAGTACGTTTGAAGAGATATTAGCGATAATTTTCCATAATCATTAGACATAAGAAATTAGAGGCTTACTTATACCGTATCTTTGAAGAGGCATTAGTAATAACCTTGAATAATAATCATAAATCACAAATGTACTTACGCCGTATCTTTGAAGAGACATTGGTTATAATCCTGAATAATAATCATAAATCACAGATTTACTTACGCCGTATCTTTGAAGAGGCATTAGTTATAATCCTGAATAATAATCATAAATCAGAAAGTGAATTACGCCGCATCTGTGAAGAGGCACTAGCTATATTTTTGAATAGCAATCAGAAATTTGAAATCTACAGTGTGTCCTAAAAGCGACCTGTGGACAATAATTTCATCTAACTCACAATGAAGGTGTTTGTATTGAAACCGAGCTAGACTTGATATTTAGGCGTCAAATGAAAGCTCTCATCGCCAAGCCAACAAGGTTAAAATATTAGCGGCTATTGACGCACTCTAGAGGGAGATATTCAATTTTTACGGTACTTGCGGTTGAGGTATACAAGTATATTGGGATTATTTACATTAATTTTTTATACAATCAACTGAATATTTCAATAGTAGGCTACAAGAATCTTTCGAAACTTTATCAATAGCATTAAGATCACATTGGTTTCGGTGTCTTTTTTGAACTTAAGTTATATCAATATAGATAAAGATCAGTGAGTAGTTATCAGAATCTTTAACTCATGAATAGTTTCGATTTTATTCCCTCGACTGAAGGAAAGATCATATGAAAAAAACCAAAATGCGTTTGTGGCTTAGTGGCTTTGTGCCAGATCAAAAAAACAAAAAGGTCAAAAAAAAGGGTGTGGGTGTGAGTGTGGGTGTTAGTCTTTCCTTCATTCATACCTACATCCACTACCACACCCACACCCTCAATTTCTGTTGTTCGATCAGTACCAAACTGCAAAATTAAAATATATGCGATAAAATAATTCAATCTTGAGGTGTTTTCTAAAACCCAAATACCAATTTCTAATAAGAAAGAAGATTTGAATTATGATAAATTTTCATCTTGTCAAATAATGATTATCTATCGAATCTTTTTCTACATTAGAAATATTTTGAATGAAATTTTACTCACTGTATATTTGTTTTCACAACCACAAGAATGCGACTCATTGCGAATGCAAGATGGACCCATTATATTTAACATCGATGTATGATTGGTATCTTTAATAACATAATTCATAATGGAACCAACATCTCTAGATGAGACCAAGATTAATAATAGACCTACAGTTATTCATGTTGTAATTTTGGTACACTTGTCGAATAGTGTCAATGATTTGTCCTGGTGGACATTCAATAGTAGCCTCTTGCAAACAATCTTCATAGCTACCATCACAATCGCGTGCAGAACAACATTGGAATTCACGATGAACTCTAATCAGTTCCTAACAAAAAAACAAAATATGTTCCTAACATAAAAATAAAATAATGATCTATAATTTCAACTTGCTCGACTATGATTATCAAGAACATGCATAGTAAATGCTCATCTATTTGAATAACAAATGCGCTCATATACATCCGATTCGGATTTGATATTAAATCAATACATATTATTCAGTAGTTAATCTATTTAATGTAATACCTTCAGATACAAAAATCAGTTATTCGCCTCGACTGTAAAATATTCCATATTTTGCTTGCATCAAAAGATTAGTCAATTCTGAAAATCGCAGTGGAATATCTTCGAAACTTATATAACAAGTAACGCTTGTCGCTACCCAGTCAAGTGAATAATGAAGAAATGGTCATTAAAATGCTTTATTACTTGTAGCTAGCCCATTTCGACCATTAAAATACATCTTTTCAAATAAATAATGGTGAAATGACCATTAAAACGAATAATAATTCATTAATGAATAATTTTGACCATTTCACAATTACGGACTCTGTTTTTTTAGAGTTTTAAACTGATTTGAAAAATGTTTATAACTTCAAAAATTTATATGAATTATTAATGTTTGCTTATCAAACTTTTTTTTTCGAAATAGCCAAAAATATTCTTATAAACTTAACCGCTT